GTTTACACATCATTTAAAAAAATATATAAGAATTAATATTGTGGCAATTTAATGTGCCACTTGGCACTTCCATTAATAGAAGGATCAGTTTGATATCGAAAATGAAAGTCTAGAGACAATTTTGATGCTTTTTGAAGTACAAGAACAATTTTGATATCAAACCAAAAAGTTGAGGGACCAAAATGATATTTTAATCTAAATTTAATTTGAGTTATTAGTTTTGAAAACATACTCTTAACTCAATTCTTACTAAAATTCAAGTCAAGTATAGCTCAATTTAAATTCAAATCAAATAACTCATGAATAATTCAACTCATTTATAAATAAGGTACGAAGCTTCAATCTCAAACATTAATTTATAGCTTATTGTGCATTAAATAAGAATCTCACAACCGAAGTTTAGGCAATATATGCAGAGAAAATACAGCAGATCATACAAACAAAACCAGTCCACACAGAGCCACACTTACAATTCCTTAGCACACAGATATCTTGCTACTAAACACAACTAACATAAAAAGGGAAAACAATATATTTTTGTGAGCTGCAATACTTGAAAATCTCTTAAAATTTGACCGCGTAACTACTCAACTACTGTCGCCGCCACCATTGCCACCATTGCCACCATTGCCACCACCACAGCTGCTGCCACAATTACCACCACCACAGCTGCCGCCACAATTACCACCACCACAGCTGCCGCCACCATTATCACCACCACCACCGCCGCCACCATGACCACCACCACCGCCGCCTCCACCGCCACAGCCACCACCACCACCACCACCACCACCACCACAAGCAAATACAACCATAGATATGAGAGAGAGCGACGCAACGATTATGCAGATCAAGGAAAGGCCACCACCTTTGCTATCCAATAGAAAACCTCCTCCCGCTTCACGAAAAACGATCACATCTCTTGCCATCTTTAATTTGTGTCAATCTTCTGCCAAAGGTTGACCTATATGTACATACAATTGCGGAAACTAGTAACCTATTTATAATCAGAGATAAAGCTAGAAATTTATGTTAGGAGAGGTAAAATTTTAAATTTTTTAGGAGTTATTTATTAGTTTATATCGTATAATTTTATATTAATTTTTAAATTAATTATTAATTTACTCATGCATCACTTATATCATCCATATTAAATTTTAAATTAATTAAATATATCTAACTATTTTAATAGTATATAATTTGTTACTATTAAATAAATAATATAAATTTATAGTTTATTTTCTTTGTAAGGTTACATATATCAGATTAATTTTAAATTTAAAATATACAATTTATATGAATAAAATAGATTCAACTGTTAATTTAATAGAATATTAATTATACAAACAAAAATTATATATAACTAATGTAAAACTTATAAAACTATTTTTTATATTGATACTTACCTGGATAAAATTATTGTATCTTTATAAGGATTAGTCATAAATGATCCTTTTAGCTAAGTCACAAACATTTTCTTTATATTTGAAAGATCCTTGTAATTCAAAATTAAAAAAAAAAATTGTAAAAAAATATTTGTACTATATTAAACATTTTTCAAAACTTTAGGGGGGGCAGCTGCTTCCCTTGCCCTATGCTGGCCCCGTCTCTATTTATAATCTTTTTCTCTCTTTTGTGAAAGGGGAAAAAATATATATATCCGCCTGCATTTTGTCAACATTCGTTTGCTTTGTCCACGATTTTGATAATTTGACATTTCCTGCACATGCATGATGCATCCTAATAACTTACATTTCAACGGTATATACAATTCACATTATAAAATAGAAAAGCCAAATATATAACATATATGAAACTACACATTTCTGTGCGAATTAATTCCAAGTATAAATTTTGAAATTAATTTTTTTTTTCTTTTAGATAAGATGGCAAGATTAGATTTTACACACTCAAAACTAATATATCCTTAAACGATTTTAATAGTGCACTCTTAATATTGTCATTGCTTGCTGTTCTTAAGATCCACTATTTTTTTTTTCCGAATAAATTTGTCCCTAGGTTTGACATCAAAAGCTCCGGGTATATCCGTTCTATTGCTTTCCCGAATTTTTTTGGGGGCTGGTTTAATTGGATGAATACATAAGATAGTGAAGGTATAAATGTAAAATAAAATAGTTCAAGAACATAAGAGATTGGAAATATATATTTCAAATTACATGTAATAATTTATATTACAAAGTCAAAGTTGATGACGAGCCAACACCTTATAAAAGATGTTACATTCTGGATGAAGGAGAATTGTTCGACCTGCTGGTCCAAGCACGCTACAGTGCATAATTAAATAGAATTGTTACAGCAACACTTACTATATAAAAAGTTAGTGTACCCCTTATAAAAAAAAAAAAAATTGTTATATTAGATGTTCTCGTCTTAGGAATTTTACGTGTTAATTTTGGCCTTTTTTTTTTTTAATTGGACGGTAGAATTAGATTACACGTCTTTTGAGATTAATAACTTTTTAATGGCACTCCAAAAATTTCGTTGCATCCTACAGAATCAAAATCCACTGTTTTTTTTTTTTTTTTTTCTGCGATGAATTGTCCGATCCCTTTAGTTTTGACTTGAACTTCATAGGTAGCACTGCTCTGTCCATAACCACCTTGCTAAAAGACTTCAGCAACTAAAACTGATAAAACTCTCTGCTTGAAACTTTTTCCATCAATCAATGCCACTCTTGAATTGCTCCCAATAAACGCCACGCCAGTGGTTTGGGTTACTCCAGTGGTTTGCGAGTTAATTATTTTTCTACAGTATGAGATATGACCTGACAAATTCATAAGTATATGTAAATCACTTTTAACACAACGCTCCAAGCAAAGTTGTGGTTGTGAGACATTATTTTGTATTATGCCTACTACTCAATCATAATTAAAATTTTTTAAAAAAAGTACAATGCAGTGTGGATTATATCAACCTATATAACCATAACTAATACATGGAGTGAGCCCCTTGATATTAAGGGTTCCACTTCCAATTTAATAACATATATTTTATAATCCAGTACAATAACTGTAAAACAAATTATTCTTAAAATAATTAATAACAATGGATTTAAGAAACATAGTTCAAAAACTTATTAGGAAATAATCTTTAGAAATCTTAAAAAATTTTATGTGGATTAAATATATGTAATACCCTTGAAATATACAAAGATCTACTCATATATATAATGATGGGCATTATTTAGTAAAACCTAAGGCTATATTTGCTATGGCTGGGATTTTTAATTTTTTTTCTTTTAATGTTGAAAAATTTTGCAACTGTTGGAAATTAAAACTAAAAACCAAATGATCAACAACTTGTTTAAGATGAGTTTTCACACTAGCAACTGAAAGCATAAACTTGTTTAGTGGTATTAAAAGTAATTTTGTTGTTATTTCTCTAAGAATCATGATAATATATTAAAAATCAAACATGAACTAAATGAGTGTTTTTTTTTTTTAAATAGTAAAATTTATAAAAAAACTAAAAATCAAAATCAAAATTGCAACCATATTAAACAAAGCTTATATTAATAGAATTATTAAATGAAAATGGTCGTTGTTCGTTAAAAACTGAATTAACGTAATAATGTAATGGAATACAAAGGTTACTCAAACATTCAAAATAATGACAGAAAAACTATTATCTAGGTCTTAGATGCACATACCATATATTCCATCCTAATATGGATAATAACATTCAAAAAATGGCAAATATAGGTAATTGAGTAACCAAATAAGGATTTAAAATTTCTAAAAAGGTTAAATGTCAAATTTAATCACTAAACTTTCAATTTTGAACAATTTTGGTTCTTAAACTATTTTTTATGCTTTTTTCATCCCTTAACTATGAAAAATGCACTCTTTAGATCTTCCTTTAGTTTTGTCCATTAATTAAGTTTGTCTAGTTGGCATTTGTTAAATTTCCTTTAGTAACCTAATAAGTATAAAACAAAAGTTTAAGGACTAAAATGTATAAACAAATATTAGTTCAAGGACAAAAAAAGGGCCGAAAAAAAAAAGTTAAAAAACAAAAAAATGCTGGCTATCAAACTTAAAGGACAAAACTGATTGGAGGACAAAAAAAAGAGTATTTTTCATAGTTGATGGATGAAAAAAGTATAAAAAATAATTCAAAGATTAAAATTATTCAAAATAAAAAGTGTTAAGGACTAATTTTGACATTTAACCTTTCTAAAAAATAGAATGCATTTATGGAAGAATATCCGAGTAGCAGATTACACTCAAAATTTGGATTCTCACCCCACCAAAGTCATCCAAAACTCTGCCTATAAAAAGCAGCTTGGCTTTTGCACAAAACAAATTGTGGTTTGGACTTTGGGGCTAAATACAACTATTGATGAATTTTGATCGGTCAGTAAATCTCTCTCTCTTCTGATTTTCAAGTAAGTCATTGATTTATAATTAGAATTTAATTCTTTAATAAGCTCTTCTCAGAAATGAAAAGGTTAGCGTTGTTCGAAGCAGAGGAAAGTAAGAGAATGTAAATAGAGATGAACCCTAGTTGGGTCAGTGAATTTACCAAAAAATTGTGAATCAATGGTTTGTCTCTTCTTAATTTTTTGATAAGTTTCCACTAATCCGATTAGACTTCTTTCAGAAAATATTAGTCCCACCTCTTAAATAATGAAGAGGCTAGCAACAACGGTTTATCTCTTGAATTTTTTTTTTTTTTTGGGTAAATAACCAATCCAATCAAAATTCAGTTTTTAGGAAAATATTACTCCCACAAGGCCAAATTTGAGAGCTAGTTGTTGGATTGAAAGAAGCAAGAGCACATAACTGAAGATGAACTCTATTCGGTTAGTGATTTATCAAAAAATAGTTTGACATGACAAGCTATAACTTGTCTCTTGGTTTTTTGGTAAATCATTAATTCAATTAGAATTTAGGTTTTCAAGAAAATGTTACTCCTACAACTCCAAATATAAAGAGGCTACTTGGTTTTTGGATTGAGGAAGCAAGAGTACATAACTGAAGATGAACTCTAGTCGGTTAGTGATTTACCAAGAAAAAGTTGACATGACAATCGATGAGTTGTCTCTTGATTTTTTTGGTAAATCACTAATTCGATTAGAATTCAATTTTTCAAGAAGATATTACTCCCACATTTGCAAATATGAATGGGCTGCATGGTTGTTGGATCAAGGAAGAAGGAGTGCATAACTGAAGATGAACTCTAGTCGATTACTGATTTACCAAAAAATAATTGACATGACAAGTTATGATTTGTCTCTTGATTTTTTGGTAAATCACTAATTCGATTAAAATTCAATTTTTCAAAAAATTATTACTCCCACATTTCCGAATATGAAGAGGCTACTTGGTTTTTGAATTAAGGAATCAAGAGCACAAAATTGAAGATGAATTTTAGTTGGTTAGTGATTTACCAAAAAGAGTTGGCATGACAAGTTATGACTTATCTTTTGATTTTTTTTTTATAATTCACTAATTTGATTATAATTCAATTTTTCAAGAAAAAATTACTCTCACCTTTTCACAGATCAAGGCCCCAAGGGTTTGGATTCACTAATAAGCAAGTGTTGTCTTATATGCTAAATATAAGGTTCAAGTCTTAGGCCAACACTCAAAAAAATTAATTTTTTTTAATGCATCAAGCTAATATAAGGGTGCACCCATAAAATTGCCCATGGAAGGACTAATCCCAAAGTACATGAAAGTTAATCCAAAGATATTCTCACTGTAAATTTCAAAAAAATAAAAAATAAAAAAACCTTTTGAAGATCAAGGCATAATTAAGAATATGTAACTGAAAAACTTTTTTGAAGGTCAAGGCATATATAATTAAGAACATGTAACTGAAAATGAACTCTGGTTGAGTAATGATGTACTAAAAAATAATTAGGGAGAAATGCCTTGTCTCCTTATATTTTTTGCTAAATCATTTATCTACTTTGGTCCTTCAAATCAAAACATAAACAGTCTCTTTTTAATAGAAATGAATAACGTCAGTAAAGTATTTCAATAGCATGCTAATAGATCTGCAAGTTCTGACTCTTTCATATTCAACTGTTTTTATTCGATCTGCTTCTGCAAACTAATAGATCTCTAATGATAAACCCAAGTTAAATTTAAGGAGGAAAATGCAGGCTGTTTTTGATGCCGATGGGTTCCAACTCTATAAACAACCCCAAGTTAGTTAATGACAGCCCAGGTCCACTCAAGAACTTTGAAAAAAAAAAAAAAAGGGGACTAAACCCATAGGAAAGACCAATAAAATAAAAAGCCTCCAAAAGGCCCTTATCAATTAGAGACCAAAAAAACAAAGTGCAGATAATAATATGAATTTTATTTTTTTACTTAAAATTAGAAATTTTTTAAGTTTTTAAATTAGGTAATAAATTTTTTAAAAAAATAAAGATATAAATTTTGTATTTTTTTTTAGTATAAAGTAGTATATGAGGTTTTGAATTTACACTAAATTCTTAATTAAGGTCTTAAAATTTTATTGAACTCAATTAAAATTTCAGACTTGTGAAAGTTCTCAAATAATGTACAATTGAA